ACACACACACACACACACACACACACACACACACACACACACACACACACAAACTCAGACACACATAGACATTATTATCATCATCATCATCATCATTATCATTATTATTATGATTTATTATTTACCTGTCTGCCTATCGAGCTAACCACAGCAGAGAAACAGAAGTTCTTAAAGTCATGAATGACATACTTACTGACTGTGTATCAGGAAAAGTTGTTTTGCTGAGCCTTTTCGATCTATCAACAGCTTTTGGTACAATTGACCATCATAATATTATTCTATTGAAACCTTTGGAAGTGTCTTTTGGAATATCCAGGACTGCCGTCAGCTGGTTTTGTTCTTACCTGTCAAATTGTGAAGGATGCTGACACAATGAGTTACCTTATTTTTTCGAATTCTGGTCTTATAGATAGACACAGATAGATTATATCAAGGTCAAAGTTTTGGTTGATACAATTTAGCATGTGAACTAATAAAAAGCATTAAACCTGAAGAAAAATGTATCGCTTTAGAATTTACAAATTTGATGTGTGTATTTGCGGTCTACATCTCCATTCGTGGATTGCGAGAAGTAACTCGTGTTGTCAGCACGACTCCCAATTGATACCAGTCTGTGGTTACAAAAGTGCTTAGTCATCCGATCGTGCTCTTGTGTATGGGGATCCCCCAGGGCTCAATCCTAGGCCCAGTTTTGTTAAATTATGGTTTATGCTCAACCACTTGTCCAGGAAATAGTTCAGTGTGACTTAAAGTACCATTTCTATGCTGATGATGCCCAAATTTATGGTTCAACAATGTTTACCAACTTAGATGAACTTGCCCATCGTGCTGAAAATTGTATTGCCTCAGTGAAAAACTGGATGAACAAAAACAATTTGATGTTGAATGATGATAAAACAGAAGTCATTCTGGCAGGCAATGCAAAGTCTGTTAATGAGGAGGACTATGATCACATGACAATTGGTGATGCAGAAATTGCATTTTCAAGAAAAGTTAAGAATCTTGGCATCTGTTTTGATTCCAGTTTGTCAATGTCGGCTGAGGCAAATCTTCTGATCAACTGCACGTACTAAGAAATAAGAAAGATTAATATAATAATAACAATAA